CCCATTTGCTGGAGAATCCTTGGGCTTCCACTGCCCTGAGGGCTTCACAGAGAACTTAAAGGCATCCAGAAGAGCCTGGCTAGACTGAGGCACCTTCCCCGAGTTTTTCTGTGTGTGTGGACCTTGGAAGACAACTTTGGGGCAGCCTGGCAGGGATGATTTCCATGGGACACGCAGCCTGCCCCAGCAGAAGGCAGCTCTGGGGCTGGGACACTGCTGCTCCAGACTGGCTGGGTTTAGCTGCTCTTCAGGTTCCTCACCCAGCACACAGAGCAGAGGAGCCAAACCCAGCTGCATTCCTCTCAGTAAGCCAGAAATTGAAAAAAACTGCTTCTGTGTGCTGATGGAGGCATTTGAGGCATAACTCTGTATTTGCAGTTATACCCAAAACTCAGCAAGGAGACTTCCACCTTTGCTGCAAACCTCTCCTGGTGCCTCATCACTGGATTGTTTGACCAGCTGGTTGGTGCCATCCTATGGCTTTAAGCACTTTAAATACCAGGTGTCCTCCCTGTCTTAGAAAGCATCTCTGTCCAGCACAACCCACCTGGAGAGAGCTTCTCCATAGCAGTGCTCAGAGTAAATCACAAGTCCAAACCCCTCTAGGATAACAGAGTGTGCTCTTTTTCCTGTTAACAGGGGCTGCCAGCTTATGCTGCAACTTACCTTGGAAGGAGAAACCAAAGGGAGATGCTAAAGGCAGGGAAAAAATGAGTGCAGCTTTCTAATTGAGTCGGGGAAAAAAATTCCAGGGTTTGTTAAAGAAAGGGTTTGAATTATTGGATAATGTTCTTTTTGCAAGCCCAGCTACGTTATCCTTGTCTTGGGGTCCCCTTGAAAGCCAGTGTCAGGAAGACTGGCCTGGTGGCCTGAATCAGTATTTGTCAATATGAAGGGTCCCTGGGGACAGACAATGGTGCCCACCCCAAAAGAAGCAACCCTGGGGGCTGCAGTGGTGGGTAAAGAGCATGGCCAGGCTTCTGCCCAAGGGAAACAGCTTGCTGAATGTGAGAAACCTTCTGGCATCTGCACACACTCAGATGATGTGGATTCAAGCCTTGAGGAGTTTGCTGTCCAACTGGGACCAGCAGAGTGATTGGGACAAGCATAACACAGCTGGGGATGATTCCATCCTGGGAAGGTGTGACTAACCTGGGGCCACTGTAAAATGGTTTCTGTGTGCATTTAATGGATATTTTTGGGGCAAGTTTTCCTTTTCATAATTGAGCCTTCCTGAACAGCAGTTGGATGTTTCAGCCAAGAGAAGAATGCATACTAAAAATCAACCAATATTTGGTGGCTCCTCTCCTAAGTGGAGAGGAGTCCTGGGTAGCACAAGGGCAGCTTCCAAAACTGGTGTTTACCTTTGCTTTGCTTTCAGCAATCCAATTTCTCTTTGTGAGCTGTGTGTGCAGAAGGGAGAATATAAACTGAGTTTATCACAGCAGCAGAGCTGGAGCAACTCCAAGTATGTTGGTCTATACCCTGGAAATAGGAGACTGCTTATCCAATTATTTGCAGCTTGTTTTCAAGGGAAAAACGATTGATTTGAGTCCTGCACAGCTTAAATCCTGTTAGAGTGTGTCATTTTGTCCTTTGGAGTGGGATGTAGTCCCAGGTTTCAGGAGATGTTGTTTTGCCTCCTGGGATTGTTGAAAAGCTGCTGTGTCAGGCTGGGGATCTTTAGTCTTCAGATGAGAAAGTAGCTCTCTGTTGGAGAGAGAGGTGAGGCTTAAGATAAACATGATAAGCTTTATTTTCCTGCCCCAACCCTTTTCACCTACTGCCATGATTAAATTTGTGAGAAGAGTCACAGTAATAAATAAACTATACATGACTGAGGGTAAAATCTCCCAGGAGGGAGGCATTGAGTGGTACAGAGGTACAGGCACACTTAACAATGAAACAAAGAGACAGACCTTGGCTGAACATCAGGAAAAACATACTGAGAGTGAAATAAATTTGGCTATAGGACTGCAACAACAGTAGCAGCAGTCCTGTTACCCAGATTAATTGTAAACACTCCTGTGGGCATCACTCCCACCTGGGTCTGGTAAGAGAAGATGTCAGTCTCATGCATGGTTTGAAGATGTCACCTTTTCTTTGGCCCAAGGTTTTCAGTGATTTTTTTAAATCAAAATGGAGATAATTTCTATCCACTTGAACCATTCTCTTTGTAGCAAATTTAGAAAGAAAAAATAATTTTGGTAAGGTGAGGACAAGAGAAATTTTCAGCTGTTTTAATATGGCTCTTCCTTTAAAGGGGTTTGGAATCAGCTGTAATCAGGCCAGATTTTTGCACTAAGTAGCAGAAACAAAATGAGCTGAAGGAAGATATTAAAAGGCAATTTTCTCTCCAGTCCCTATCACAAACCTGCATCTTCTGAGGTATAGGTGTGTCTGCACAAGAGTGGTAGCATCAGATTCTCCTTGCCCTCATACAAACCAACCAGAAAGGAGAAAGGAGTGAGGATCAATGTTTGGCTAATGATGTGGATACTCCACATCAGCCACAGCCCTCTCCAAACTCTTGAATCTTCCTCCTGGCATGTTTTATTTCTTGTGGGCAGAGTGAATCCAGTATGGAAGCCTGGCCACTCACTCACTGGGATTAAGCAGTGATGAGAAGAGGTGTGAGAGGCAAGGAAAAGATGGTGCAAGTGAGTCAAGCCCTCCCCAGAGCCTGTGTGGGCAGCCTGAGGGCATCCCAGGCTGCTGGTTGGGAGGGCATGGAGCTCCTCCCAGGGCCCCTGGCCATCTGCAGGGGCTGGATGGTGCTGGATGGTTTTGTGTTTGCTCCCTGGCTCAGTCTCTCACAACATGGTTTGCAGAGCATATTTTGTGATGTGAGAATATGCTCTCTGTTCGCTCCTAATGCACCTGTTGGTTCCACAAACAGGCCTGCCAATTAAACACAAAATTCAAATCCCACAAGGAGCTGGGTTGCCTATGCTGGAAGATGTATGTGTGTAATAAATGGTGTTATGAGGTATACACCCAAACCTATTTATGAGTTAGCATATGAGAGAGAAAGCAGGGTCAGAGTACTGAATAGGCTCAAATAACATGTGGATTTATATGCTAGATTCACCTTCCAACCCTTTATTTCATCTCAGGCAAGTTATTTAGCTTCTTTGGGCCTGAGATCCTCTACTGAGTACATCTGGGACAACAAAGAAATCCTTTTTATCTTTTTTCTGCTCTGGTTCCTCAGGCTCAGAAAAAGGAATTGTGTCTTTGTGCACATACTTGATTTTGTCAGGGTTTTTAGCAATTCTCAGGTGTTGCTGTTGCACTTCTGCTTTGTACTCTTGCAGACCAGAGATGATTCAGGAGCAAAAGCAGAGATACTCCTTCAAGTCTCCTTTTTTATGTTTCATCTTTGGTACCTCCTCTCACAAGGAAGTGAGCTGCATTTTACTCATCAGAGCAGAGCTAAACTTTGGTTTCCATGGAAATCAGGTACCTCTGTGCTCAGCAAACTCCTGTTATTACTCACCAGGAGAAGGGCAGCCAACACTGCACTTCAGCTGTAGCTGACAGGCAATTTATATGGGACAAATCCCTGAGCAGAGGAGTCCAGCCTTTCCTGAAATCTTATCCCTTGCCTCTCCACGCTGCTCGTTCCAGACAGATGCTGACAACTGGAGCTGAGTGGTGCTGAGGGAACGTGACACAGAGCTGCAGCAAATGTATTAATTGCACTGCTTGGGGAGGGCTGGATTCTTTCCCCTGCCCCTCCTTCCTCCCTGCCAAAGCTTTGTGTGTGCTGGGAGCCTTGCTGGGTTTTTCTCATGTATGGTAATTAACTAGCACAGCCCCGAGTTCTGGGCATCTGCTTCCCATCCCGGGAAGGTGCGTTATTAACCCGAGAGGATTTGATACCCTCCTGCTGTGCCCCATTTTCTCTGCTCTTGCCTGCTCCTTCTATTTGATTCAGCCTCCCAGGTCCATTAAGATCTTCACAGTTGCCCATGCACAAACCTGACAGGCTCATGGGGAGACTCTAAAACGATGCTGGTTCAATTAGCAGGATATAATTTGCCCTTTGGTGAAACCCTGGGCTCCCCTGCCAGGCTAAGCACTCGCTGCCAGAGCACTTAGCACAAGGAGGAGTGTTCCCATCACATCTTTCTCAGTGGCAGGTCACACAAACCGTGAACCCGAGTAGCTGCCATAAGAAAGGAATTTTATTTTTATCCCTATTTTATTTTTCCTCACAAAATGAGTCTTAGAGAAACCAAAAGCCCAGTTTGGATATTCGATGTGAACGAACCAGCTGGCAGCTGTAGTTTTTATTTTAGCCTGGGAATCCTGCTGGCTGTATTTTTTTTCCTCCTTCCCCATGAGCCCCTCTTGCAATTTGAGTTGTTCTGCCCTATAGGTCACAGACCAGTTTGCTGTACAGTCTTCTATCTCTGTGTTGATCAAACACTTTTCTGAATGATTTGCTGTTTGCTGTGGATGTTAACCTTCTGAGTACTCAGTCTTGCTTCTCTCTCTTACCTCTGAGATGTCCTGAAATACCTGAAGAGATACCAATATCAGATCATGCATATTCATAGTGGTTGCTCTCCATTCAGCTGCACAGACAACAATTTTCTAAAGCAGATATGAGTCAAACCTTGAGCAAAATGTTATTCAGTATGGGGGGAGGGAAGGAGAGTTGAGATGTGATTTGGGTTTTTTTTCTCAGCCACTTTGGACAGTAGCTGTTCTCATGAGATCTTTTGTGTATCAGCAAAGGGATGGATTTGTGTGCTTTGGTGGTGGAGCTTCTCACACTGGAGGAGATCTTTTGGAGAGATGGTGTGGAAAAGGCTGGTGGCACCTGTCCCTGCTGGGGCAGGCAGGAAGCTTGGCCAGAACTGCTCTGAGAGTGGTGCCAGAGATTGGTCTGGTTGCTCTGGCTCTCCCACAGGGTGGGAAAAACCTGTCCTTAGCTCTAGTCTTGAGGAATGCTTTTTCATTTTTTTTTTTATGTTACTTCTCTTTCCCAGGAGACTTCCTTGGGTTTATAAATGACTGCATTTCCCTTCGGCATGACAGCTGCAGCTTCACCTCTTCTCGTGTGAACCTGGAGTCAGGTCAGGCTAAAATGCTGAATCCTTCCTTTCTCCTTCCCCTGCTTCTCTGGCCCCCTCCTTCCTTCCCCATATCAACTGCCTGCATTGCCATAACTCGAGGATTAGCTTTTTCCCTGCAGGACTGAGCTGAAATTCAAGTGCTTTACGGAGCAAAACAAATCTCTTCAATATTAGCAAGGCAAAGCAAAATGCTTGAGCACATGTGGTTTTTGTTAGCTGACTTCTCCCCCAGCCTCATGTTCAGTCACAGTGTCAAATTCCCTCTTAAATATGCTTAGGAGGTCACAGAAAGCAGGTGAATAGTCATACAATAAAAATCACATCACACCTCTTAAAAAAAATTAAATAAAAAAAATACATCCCCTCTTTCAGTCTTCCTCCCACTCCACCCATCCCTATGCGCAGCAGAGGAAAAGACCTGATTATGCACTTAGTGGGAAAGAACTAAAAATGAGTTTTCCTAGGAGGTTGGAGCACAGGGATGTAATTAACAGATCAGGCTGTTGCAAATGAAGACACAGAGTTATAGGTGCCCAAAGTTAAGCAGGTACATCTAGGTCAGGCTCTCAGCAGATACAAGCTCTTCCCTGGAGTGATTCCACGTGGCAGCACGGTCTGGCTTCCAAAGGAACGTGCTGGTGCCAGCTGGGTACTTTTGGGAAACGTGTGTTGAGTAAGATGCTGAGGAGATGGCAAAGGTATGTGTGCAGAACACACCTGTGAGTGCTCGGTGCAGGTGTGAGCAGTAAAGCTTGGATGGGGTTTTTGAAACCATGACTCAGTTCCTTTAGGAAGATCAGATACTGGGTTTCTGTTGTGTTAGCAAGGGGAGCTGAGCCAGGGCCACAACACCCCCAGTGCTGCTCAGTGAAACTCACACAAATCTCTCTGATTGATTTGACCTTATGAAAGAAATTCTAATAAATCCTCGAGGTCCTGGTAATGAATTTTATGAGTCCCCCCAGCAAAGGCAATACCTGTGCTTTGGCTGATATACGAAGTAACTCAAAGCTGGCCTGAGCACCAGAGACAGTGTGAGAAATGTTTGTGAGTGAAGTCTCTCAGTGAACCCATTAGCATTGCCGGAAGAATATTCATTTTACAGCTTAGATAGGCACTGGAAACACCAAAGCAGCTGTGGATGCCTCATCCCTGGAAGGGTTCAGGGCCAGGTTGGGTGGGGCTTGGGGCAGCCTGGTCTGGTGGCACCCATGGCAAGGGGTTTGGGAACAGAGCTTTGCACCTGTGGGTTTTATTCAGGTTGTTTGTGTGTATACACTGATTTTAATGGCCAAAAGGTGACAGAGTGAAAAATAGAATTATTGAGGAAATTTCATTGTGTTCAACTCTGTGCTTGGGTATTTACTTCTCTCAGCAGGGCACCAACGTGTGAAAAGGTTTTTAACAAAAGGCTGTCCTAGCTCAAAGCCAAGACCTGCCTCTTGTTTTACTGAGCAGTGTGTTTGACTCATATTTGAGGCATATTTTGAAAGAAAAGCTGTCGTGGTGTGTGCAGGTGTGTAAGCTATGAACCTTTGTACAAAGCAGTGAATTTATTTGAGATTTGTTCTCGGAAGTTAGTCTTTGGGCTGTGAAAACAATTCTCCTCATTATTCTAAGCCAGATTTTCCTGGCAATAGATATCCTGGTTTTTATCTTGATTACTTTTTTTGTTCTCACAGCCCTGAACTCTGCTCCTGAGTCTTTGGTGCTCTGTAATTTCCACTTTTTCCTGATGTAAAATAGAGGATGAAGACAGCAATTGAAACAATTGCAGTAGAGAAGGTTTTCAACCTTTGCCTCTGCTTGCTGGCATACTGTGAGTCTTAAATAACATGTTTATAAGGTGGTCTGATGTGTGACATTCAGATGAATGCAAGTGTCGTTCAGAAGTGCACAGACCTGCAATTTATATAGTAAATACACCTTTCATGTTCAGTAAAGTCAAAGTCAATCACCACAGTCTCAGGGTGACAGTATTTTAAACCATAGCTGTGCAATTCTGCTAATTAAAAAGTTGGGAGGCAGAAAGGTCACAATAATTCTGCCTGTTTTCTCTCTGGGATTCTTTTGGCTATGGAAAAAGAAAGAAGCAACCTTTTGGTGCAAAAAGGTTTGACTTCTAGGGGTTTTTTTACTCTTTCATGTGCTCTAAAATCCATGTAATTACTTATAAGGACTCTCGGTGATTGCAATGATAGCGTTTAGAAGTAATTAATTTGGAGCTTTAGGCTCATAAATAGTAGATGACAGTTACTGAACTCCTGTTAAACAGCAAAGGAGCAGCCCTGGACCACTGGGCTCTTTAGGGTGTTCAGCTGAGACTGGAAATAAGCGATCTGTGGTGGGTGGGAGGGTAGATGTGCTTGCATGACATGTAAGCAAAGAGCTACTGGAAATATATTTGCCTCTGGAACACGCAGATGAAGTGATTTCCTGCTCTTTAAAGGAAGCTGTAGCAGTAAAAGTGACAAGAATGAGTCTTAAAATTTCATCCCCTAGTGAGAAACCTGAGATTATTACTAACATCAACTTTTTGAGAAAATCATTAAACCAGAGCTATCTGTCTGAAAGCATAACAGAAAACTGCCTATAAGGGTAAAAACCCCCAAAACATTCACAGGTAGCAGCTGAAGAGGGTGGTTTTAAAAATCATTATTATTTTTGCAACTTTTTACCAGTGGTTGAAGTTTGCTGTTAGAGCAAATTGGTTACAGTGGCAATATCCTCACAGGGAAACATTGCTTATACCTCATGTGTTTGTTTTTCCTAAGAATCTTATTTTCTATTTCAACCCGGAACAGAGTGCAGGGATCTGCATGACATTATGGCAGCAAGTGTTACCCATGAGAAACACCACTGCAGCCACCTCATGCTTTAAACATCTGAGAGGATGAAGCACAGCTCAGCTGCCTGCTGTAACAAGCAGTAAAATAAATAAATAAAGATAGATAAATTGCCAAGAAAAAGTGAAATGCTCCCTACATACTAGGAGTAAAAATGTAATGGTGTTCTGTCCCTTCTGGGCAGCCCCAGAAGGAGAATTAGGCAAGACTAAGTTGTGCATTTTGGATTTGCACTGCAGAAGATGCTAGACCCATTCCAGCTCAGGTTCTCTGGGGGCCTGGGACATTCACCAGTGATGGGGACAGTCATCATGGTGAAATGTACCATCATGCTGGGGCAGGAAAGTGGTGGTGGAAGCGTTGATGGCTTTGATCTGCTTGGGACTGGTCACAAGGGATGATGCCCATGTGTTGTTTATTCCTGACAGGACAGGAGCTTGGCAGCAGCAATGGAATGGAGGCTGTGCTGAGGTGGAGAGGCTGGGCATGATGAAAGACAGATCTGCCCACTCAGCTTGGGAGGATGGGTTGCTCTGGGAGACAGTCGTGTTTCTCTCAGCACAGCTGCTCAGTTTTGGATCCTCTACTGCTGTCGCAGGCATCTTTTATGAAAAATCCTTTCTTTAAGATTTTTCCTCCTGAGAAGCTGCGAGGCCTCAAGAACAAAATGTAAAAAATGATTATCTGTTGCTGTGGAATGCAACAGGTGCATCTGTGATTGGTCTCATGTTGGATGTTTCTAATTAATGGCCAATCACAGCCCAGCTGGCTCAGACAGAGAGCCGAGCCACAAACCTTTGTTATCATTCTTTGCTATTCTATTCTTAGCCAGCCTTCTGATGAAATCCTTATTCTTTTTGTATAGTTTTAATGTAATATATACCATAAAATAATAAATCAAGTCTTCTGAAACATGGAGTCAGATCCTCATCTCTTCCCTCAACCTGAGACCCCTGTGAACACCGTCACACAACTGCCTTACTTTATAATGAGGTTTTGGATTTTTGGACCTTATTGTCTCATTGTCACATGTCTTTCACTCGTCTTTGTGTCTTGGGAGCTTGGTGAGTGAGGCTGGCTCTGTAGCAGGACCTTCTGTGATGATAAATAAGGTGCAACCAAAGCCATGGGCCCCAGATAATAGATGTTCCATTCTGCAGGACGCTCCAGTTTGGGCAGTTTAATTTCTTACCAGTTAAAGATCCTCCTTGTGAAAAATGACTTCCCATTCCCAACCTTATAATGAAAGTAAAATAGTGGGAAGACAGATGAGTTAGCACTCCTAGAAATCTATTATGTGGCTGGGTGAGAAATAAAACAATTTGTCTCCCCCTTGACTGACTTTTCTTACACCAAATAACTGTGTAATTGTCTTAAACCCCAGATAGAGAGCCCAGTCTGGAGGGGAGAGGTTCTTATATTTCAGCTGGCTCCCAGCTGTTCAGCTGGGGAGAGCAGGGTTGTGTGTGTGAAGGGAACGCACTGGGAACCCATTTCTCAGAGCTGTGACCCTTTTCCTGTTTGTCAGATGCACTGATTAGCTGAAATAAGTTTTCTTGCTAAGCATTGTGTGAGATTCTGGCAGTCCAGCTGCCTCTGAGCCCAAAATGAGTCCTCAGCTGGCTGAACAGTGTGGGATTGTGCACTCTGTGAACAGCAAGGGGAGCTGGCTGGGGCTGTGGGGCTCAGAGCTGCACCTTGGATGTCATGGGGCAAATGCACTCAAAAATACCCCCAGTAGTTGTTAATATTTTAAAAAATTGCATTATTTAATTTTTTACTCTCTTTTAAAATTGCTGAAACAATTCAAAGGAGTTTTGTGGGAGTGAGACTACATTTTTCTGGGTTTATTGTACCTGGATATGTGTGATGGTGTTCACAGGGGTTTTCAGATTGGGGAAGAGACGAGGATCTGACTCCATGTTTCAAAAGGCTTGATTTATTATTTTATGATATGTATCACATTAAAACTATACTAAAAGAATAGAAGAAAGGATTTCATCAGAAGGCTAGCTAAGAGTGGAAAGGAAAGAATGATAACAAAGGCTTGTGGCTCAGCTCTCTGTCTGAGCCGGCTGGGCTGTGGTTGGCCATTAATTAGAAACATCCAATCACAGATGCAACTGTTGCATTCCACAGCAGCAGATAATCAAT